TTGCCTTCATCAGTAATAACAATATATGGAATCGAGGTAGATTCGGTATCAATGATAACAAGATTGCCATTAGACAAAGTGGAAAATATTTTGTCAAAAATAGCAGTCTTAATGAAGAAAAAGAAAGTAACATTAAAATATGATAAACAAGATCAACAAGGAAAGGCGGCGTTCAATGAACGCAACCCCCACATGACCCAGCAACAAGAACCAATGGCATTACAATCCTTATTAGGTTTAATAAACTTTGCAGCTTCTTGCATTGTCCCGGGAAGGACATTTCTACGTAGATTGTATGATTTAACTGTAGACATCAGGTTCCCTCACTTTAAAATTAGGTTAACAAATGAGGCTAAGGCTGATTTAGCAGTTTGGTCTTCATTTTTACAGTCCTTTAATGGAAAGTGCATGTTTTTAAACGACAGCTGGTCACATTCCCAAAGTTTGCATTTATTTACTGATGCTGCTTCTACAGCTGGTTTTGCTGCAGTTTTTTGTAGCCAGTGGTTTGCAGAGGCTTATCCAGACACATGTCAAAATTATCATATCAATATATTAGAGTTACTTCCAATAGTACTGGCGGTAGAATTTTGGGGTTTCAAAATGGCGAATCATAAAATAATGTTCCATTCAGATAATGCAGCAACAGTAAATGTAATAAACAAAATGTCATCTAAAGACAAAATTATGATGAAGCTTGTAAGGCGTTTGGTTTTAGCAACTCTCAAACATAACATTTTATTCAAAGCTTGTCATGTCCCTGGGAAATTAAATTTTGTGGCTGATCATTTGTCACGTTTTCGCTTTCAGGAAGCATTTCAGTGCTTACCAACGCTGTCACAAACCCCAGTTTAAATTGCCACAGAGTCTTCTAGTGATCTGAACAGCTCAGCCCTCCATGTCATGTCTCATGCATTGGTGAATAGGACAAAGCAAAGCTATTTTAGCTATTGGAAAAAATGTGTACAATTTTGCATTAAGAATGATGTTATTGTTACTTTGCCAGTTCAAAGTCCTGTATTCATAAATGTTCTTGCTCATTTATATGATTCTAGCTTTAGAGTAAGCACAATACATTCTGTAGTGTCAGCACTAATTTACATTCATAAAGCTATGGGACTCCCTGATTTGTCAGGAAGTTTTTTGTTAAAACAGTTTTTGAAGGGTGCACACAACTTGTCTACATATACTGCTGACACTAGATTACCAATCACGTTTTCAATACTGAGCAAAATAATACTGGCTCTTCCACACACCATTTTGCTATTAAATGAACGAATTGTGTTCGCTGCTATGTGTAATTTGGCATTTCATGGGTTTTTACGTATTGGAGAATTTTGTATGAAATCTAAAACTGCAGAGTCTCAGATTATTCAACGTAGTGATGTGAAAATGATATATGAAGAGGGCGAAGTTATTGGGTTAGAAATGACAAATTTAAACATAGTGTTGAACCAGTTTCATTATTCATACCTCGAAATAAGAATAATGCCTTAATGTGCCCGCTTCAGTCCATGCAGAATTTTTTTGAAATTTCAAATCATTTTGATGGCCCATTATTTCAGTTGCCAAATGGCACAATAGCTACATATTCATTTTTTAATTCGCATTTGGCAAATACAATAATTTTTTGGGTTTTAACCCGCAACTATATAAATCTCATTCCTTCAGAATCGGTGCTGCAACTTACGCATCTATGAAAGGATTTTCAGATGATGCAATAATGAAAATGGGCCGTTGGAAATCACATGCTGTGAAAAAGTACATAAGGCTACCAAATCTGTCGTTGAAATACCGTGTCTAGTCTGATTTTGTGTTAGTAAAATAAGTGTTTTGAGTTTTTTATAAGGGTGTTAAGGAAAGTATTTTGAAGTCTTAATACTTGAATTTGTTATCCCAGTTTGAACTGTATCACTGTTAGAGCATAGTTTATTATTTTAAGTTAAGATAATACTGTAACAAATCATTGTTAAAGAGTGCTTGACGTTATCTGAATATGTCTAGGTTATACATATATCTATCACAGGAACAGTTTAACTGTTATGTAGTTCAGCATAAGACTGCTACATATATGACAATTTTTCAATACTCATGTATAGTTTGTTTAAAGATGGTTCAGTTATCATGATTGTTGTTTAGGTTTCAGTAAAATTGTTTTTGTTTGATTCGTGAGATTGTTTGTAGTTCAGTAAAAGGCTGCTGCAAATTTAATTAGATGTACAAAATGTTAATGTGCTTGTAGTCCAGTTAAAGGCTAGTTTATAGCTGTAAATGTTAATGTGCTTGTAGTTCAGTAAAAGGCTGCTACAAATTTGTTTATATTTACAAATGTTAATGTGCTTGTAGTTCAGTAAAAGGCTGCTACAAATTTGTTTATATTTACAAATGTTAATGTGCTTGTAGTTCAGTAAAAGGCTGCTACAAACTTGTTTATATTTGATGATTGTAAATATACTTGAAGAACTGTATAACGCGTAAATGTAAATGCAATTATTGTAGTCCAGTACAAGGCTGTTACAAGTTGTTTACATATATTATAGGTGTTCAATATATACAAGCATTTAGATATTTTGTGGTTGTTATATGTGTGATCATTTTAAGCTTTGATTTTTATAATTTTGCTAGTATTTAGATTTAGTCTTTTTGTTTTTTATTTGGAATTTGGTCCAGTTAAAATCTTATGTGTTCTTTGTGGCATTTTTTATACTTGTATATAATCTTCCTTAATCCTTAGGTAGTAGTCAGCTGCACAGAGTGGGGACGGTCATGCAACTTTGTTGCATTATTTGGCGGTTCTGATGACCCACCTTTGCTTAGCATTCTTAGTAAAATATTTTGTAATTCATTAGTTCATAAACATTTGGTAAAAATATAAAGATTTATTGTTAAGAACAGTCATTTTAAAAATAAATGACTTTTATTAATTCAAGTAGTAGCTACTTATTGTTGTATCCTAAAGCAAATGAACTCACTCCGTGCAGCAGTCATTGGTATTTTAGTCCAACGGATTCCATTCAAATGTTACTTTCATCGAAGATAAAGTTGTTTGGAGTGAGTAGTTGGACTTGTTAATCTTTTAGGTGTATTCAGCCGTAGGTGGAAGGAGGGTATTTAGTGGTCGGCAAACCTATTAAGCTAAAGAACTCTCACGCTGTGTAATTCTTATGACACCAGCGCGTGATCAGTGCATGATTTCTTTGTTCTAACCGTATCACAGCGGCATGATAAATTGTTGATAAACATTCGCCATCTTTCTGCGAGAAGTTAATGCAGATTAAGCATTGAAGCTAAATTAAAATTTACTTAGAATTAAGCTGTACTAACACCTCCCCTCCACCTCCATTTATTGACGGTTGATGATCTTGTAGATTATAATTTTTGCATGTAAGCGGTTCTGATGACCAACCTTTGCTTAGCATTCTTAGTAAAATATTTTGTAATTCATTAGTTAATAAACATTTGTTAAAATATAAAGATTTATTGTTAAGAACAGTCATTTTAAAAATAAATGACATTTATTGATTCAAGCTGAAATACAGGATCATAATAAATTAATTGAAACAGATCAGAGAAACAGTTTAACGGTTTATGATTAATGACCTCAAACTAAATGATACAAGGTCGAACATATTTATATAAAATGAGACTTCCAAGCAAAGACATGACGTTAAATTAACGTCGGATTGCCGTTAGATTTCGGTCGTGACGTCAGCGACCAAAAACGAAGTAAATCTGACGTCCAAAAACCGATGTCTGTAAGACGTTTCTTTTTGTCGTTGAAATAACGTCAGGTCCTGTTCGGTAACCAGACTCGTCCAGGACTGATGGAACAATGTATCAAAGGCTCATGTGAGATTTATCAAGGGTTATGTTTAGTCATTTCTATGGCTCCGATAAGCTTTGCCTTAGACTCGTGAAGCTTTTAACGAAAGGCTTATTAATCTAATGATTAATATATTTTGTTATCTAAGGCTCACTTTAGCTAGGGCTCTTTAAAGTTATTTCCAGAGCTCTTGTTTGCTACGTGTAGATCTGACGTAAAATGTATCTTAGATTTATCTTGCAGAAAGGCCTTTGTTCATTTCATGAAGGAATCACTAATACAGGGCTTATGTCATTTTTTGGGGGCTTTGTCAGTTTTATCGAGGACTCAAAATGCCTTTTATATACGTAACTAACGCCAGGGTTTAATTAGACAAATATATGCAATAACTAGTGGCCCCGGTTCCCTTTACAAGAGTACTTTTTACTATATTAAGAGCCGAAGATTTTCTAGCGTTGATATTTTCTTTACATTTTGTCAATATAAGTTGTTTCAAGGGTTATGTAAGTTTACATAGGTCTTATTTTACTTATGAATATAGTAAGACCTATTGTTATTTGTAAATACGGTTTATTCTTATAGTTTATGTTAGATTTATCTGTGGCTCGTGTAAAGGATTCGTGGGTGTTTATTTCTTTAATTCTAAAACTGATGTTGTTTTATCGTGGACTCACATTAACGTTATCATTAGGTGAAAATATTTTTTCATAAAGGTCTCATATGAGAACAATTCTTGGTTCGTGTTACCTTTATTTTTAGGGTAAAATTAATGGCTCATAATAAATACATCTAGGATGCACTATTGCTTTATTAAAGGCTACTTGTAGCATTATCTGCAACTCTTAAGATTTTAGCTCAACCTTGTGTTCAAAAAAGAACATTAATTAATTTATAAAGACATAACATTTTATTTCGACAGCGTTACATTTTTAATACAAAAAATGTTCCATATGTTGTGCATTTACTTTGTATCATCAACAGGGACTCTGACTGAATAATATGACCATCACCTTTCATAAAAACAATTCAGTTATTCTTATTATCAGATATATTGATTAGCTAGATTATTACATCAATACCCACTACCTAAGTTCAAATGTCATCTAAGTAGGTCAATAAACAACAATCAATCTATTAGAACGTAATTTATAATTTATTTATTATACTTTCAATATTTGATGAATTCGCTTGGTTTGAATTTATTTCAACTTTAAACCGAATAAAATAACAACATAACGATCGTAGCAAGTACATGTTTTTTCAAGTTTTTTCCTGGCAATTTCCTTCATATTTCTGAAAGATAAGAAATGAATTTTATTCCCTGAATCATTTGTTTACTTTGAAATTAAACATTATCTATTTCAATTGAGTTTGGATTATATTTAATCAATAAACTTACTAAGCTATCGATACGATGTGATACACCTAAACAAATAAAGTCAAAATGACAGTGTTCATTAACATATATAGAATATAAGACGCTGAACTTTATACATAAACTGCGACAACAAACGTTATAATGAACAATTTTCTAGTCATTAAAGGAAAAAATACTTATAATACTGTAATGGAAATTAACCGTTCACTTATTGTAAACCGCCAGGCAGTAATCCGAGGTTCCGGGATTTATATCCTTGGTTTACAAATGATTGCGTGTGACACTATAAAGTTACAGTAATATAGTAACACTACAACATATCTTACTTAAATCAATTGTTATTTCAACACTTGAAAGAAGTAATAATTATAAAGATTTTACTCACAGAGTGAAATTTCGCACACGTATGAAAATTCTCTTTCACAAGCATATGTGTCCCAATCTCCATAATATTCACCGTAAGCGACACAATCTAATAAATCTTGATTTGACGGAACATATAGGCCTACCAAAGAATGGTCGAATGTTGCTCCTGAATAATCCCACAACAATAAACCTTCTGTTTCTATGTCGTTTAATCCCATCCAAACATCTGAAAAATAATATTTTATAGTTCCAATGTACAATTTTCTTTCTTAAGATACAAAACGTTCAAAAATGACATTGTATCCTATTGCTAATGTGAAACAAGAAGCATTTACAGACGTCGAACAGGAAAAGTGCTATTAAAAGAGGATCATTCATTGACACCGACTCACAATAAAAAATTTAAAAAGCGGTTTGTGATAATAGCTCCACTTTTCTGTTAAAGTTGAACACTTCAGACAAATAAAAACAGATTAATAACTCCGAAACCATAAAACGGCGAGGTCCTCATTTATGTTCACTGAATTTCTCTTCCAGGATATCTACCTGGCTATATAGCTAATTATCATGCTAAAGTGTACAGTTAGTCATATGTCTATTGGTAGCAAGCGCGGTTTGCGTTTTTATGTGATGCACTAAATCTCTAAATGTTACAAATCATTGCGTATTTTTGTTAACAACTATTTATATAAGACATTCACCGAAAAGACCTGTGTGCTCATTTTACATTTGATTTTTTGTCTCTTCATCTATTTAATTTACCTTCATAAACTATCTCCATATTAACTACTAAATAATGTTTATATATCAATGACAAAAAGAAAAAAACGGCTACACACACACGGACGGAGATTATTTCCATATCCCTTTGTCATCTTTTCTGTGAGGGAAAGCATGTGATTTTGTCAAATTTATTTACATTTATTCATAAAATCTGTCGTTTCTAGAAAGGTATATAATTAAATACAACACGTCTTTCATGTTACTATAAAGGTAATTGTTTTTGTGACAGTTATATTTTGGCATGAAGGCATTTCAATATCTTTATTGTTGATTGTAAGCTGATACTTTTGTTGTAATAACATTATGCCTTTTAAAGTGTCAATCAAATAGATTTCCAAAACATATTCTTTATATCTTGATTGCTCTACTCTATAGATTTACTCACAATGTATACATTGTTTATGTCACTGAAGAAAATATGAATATTCATAGAGATATTAATTATACACTTGGTTTGTATTGACTACATTACACATGAATTTACAGGATTTTCGTTGATAGTTGACAAAATAGGGTATGTTTGGTCTTCAAGTCTTTCTAAATGAAATGCATGATATAGACACAAGTGTACGGCGATAACAAGCCATCCCCAGGACCCCCTTTAAAAAACCTAGAAGTTAAAAACAAAAATGAAATTTTCTAAAACATAATAAATGAAATCGAGATATCACATATCAAATGAAAATGTAATAATGAATTTAAAAAAGGGTATACAACACTCCACTGACTGTTCGCAGAAAATATGCAATTGTGCAGTAACGTCATCATGTTTAAGTAAATGCTAGAAAAAAATATGACTGTTTCTAGAAAAAAGTGTTATTAAATGGTCTTGAGTTTTCATTAAATGTTAAATATCAAGTTGTTTGAAAATGACCTTTGGAAATGATTTGATTGCATTGTTGTAAAAATGCCAAACTGGAGCTACAGATGTTTGAAGATTTTAAATGGAGCAATAAGATATCCAAAATAAAACTTTTTAGCAAACGTTTATGACCTTTGATTTTAAACGTCAAAATCAATTCGAAAGTAAATGTGTAATTTATTTGTAGACAACTAATTAGTTAGAGCGAAGGGTTCTTCATAGTGAGATGCATGTGTGCAGGAACGGGTCTCGCTTACACGTCTTATTTCTAACGTTCAAAACATTGTTACTTAATATAGTTTGTAATAATATGTAATTGGATTAATACACAAAATGCACCAAGTGAGGAAAGTCGCCATATGGTCTTTATTGTGCTGCTGTGACGTAAACTCAAACCACATATAAAATAATAAGCTGGTCCCTTTAAAATGCTATTCTGTTAGAACGTTTTACTTACAATCGTAAACATCCATCATGTAGTTAACAAAATTGCCCTCAGATCCAGAGGTGATTTCAACAAGGTATCCATTTTTTGACTTGCAGATACTCTGCAGGAGATAAAGCAAATTCATATATTAAAGATTTTAAATAAACATATCTCTGCCCTATTATATTTTAATACAGAAGATTTTTCTCTGTATGAAATCATTTTCTGCGAGTATATTTGCCAGAAAAGTATAGCAAAGCAGCTTCAAATGTATATGACTTTTGCCATCTGTTTGATGCGCGTTGTTATCTCTTTAAAAAGATATTATTATAACTGTTTAATTCCGCTGGAAACCAATGTGTCTCTATTCGGCATTGTGACAGAGATGGTAAAAAATATCATTGTTGACGCCTCATCAAACTGAAATAATTGTTTTTATTGATGTCAACAAAATGAAAACAAATCTGCTTCATTTTGAATGTTTTTATTATAATTATTGCGCTTCTTTTGATTCATTACATTTATCTCCTGCGCATCGGTCGAATATTTCACTATCGCTAACGTCTAAAGAAACGCAAGTGCGTAAGTGTATTCAGCGAGCTGCGAAGGGTGAGTAATAAATTGACGTTTTGTGATTCATGTGCTACAGGATTTGTGATTACGTCCCTAGTATAGCCCCAGCAATGGATTTTTCATGACAGTTTTTATCACCTTAATTTTCATCAGAATGATACTAAAGTTAATTTATAAAACTGAACAATGATTTTTTTTATCACTAGCTTCATATACTGCATAACTTAAATAACGAAAGTACAGAATTGTTAAGTAACGAAATTCAACTTCCTTGATATGTTTCACAATTTCTAGCTCACAATGTCACATAGTGAGTTAGCTTTTGCGATCGCTTTTCGTTTTGCGTCCGTCCTTCCGTAAACGTTTACTTTATACAACATCTCCTCATAAACCGGTAAGCCAATTTTATCCAAACTTCAAAGGAATGTTCCTTTGGTAGTCGCCTTTAAAAATTGTTCAAAGAATTTTTATTTCATACAGAACTCTGGATGCAATGGCAACAGAAAGAAAAAAACTTAAAATATTTTCTTAAAAAAAGACCTATTGGCCCCACCCGGGGGTCACTGTTTTATCTTATATGTATATAGTCAAATCTTTTAAAAAGCACAGAGAGCTAAAGCTTAGATATTTAGCATGAAACATCTATTAATGGGTGTCTACCAAGTTTGTAAAAATAAAAGCTCTTTGGTCAAAATTGACCAAGGGTGTTATTGATTTTCCTAATATGTACAAGTATAAACAGTTTAATTTTTGTTGTTTTTGCGGACTCCAATTCTGCGGTTTTTTCGAATTTTGCCATATTTTATTTATTTTTGCGGTACTTTTTTCCGCGGCACATTCCTTAGACAAAACGTAATTTAAATTCTGCAGCTCATCTTTCGCCGTGAGCATGGTGGTACTACAATAATGTATAATCAATGCTTTGGGTTCGATTTTACAGCCTTCTTGACAGTTCTATGTACTGTAAGCGGTCAATGCAGTTTGTGGGAATATATCACATTTGCATGTAGACATTCGCATTTGTTTATCGTCGTCACCGCAAAACTGTACAGTAATTACTACTCACGTGCAAACAAATGTAAAGTGCAACACTAGAATAGTATTCATCTTCTGATCAGCGTGAAATGAAGTGTGAAAGATATCTAAACACAGATTACATACTTAGCTGACAGCAGTTTTATAAAGCTCGATGACCCGTTAACCGTTAAAATATGTTAGTCGTTATCTCATTGGAAGGCACAGTCCATAATGTAAGACACATATCGTAGCAGGTAAAAGCTACAACATGGAGAAATATTCTGCCTTTTGTTGTTGTTTTTTCTGTGGTGCTATAACTGACATAATACGCAAAAATAAAGCCACCGCAGAAAAAAAACACTTATACGGTAGTTAAAACTTTAAAAAACTTCTTTAAGATATAAAAGGAACTCCACTATTAAGTTTATTAGACTAAAAGCATAAAATTTCAATTTTTCACATAGATCAACACGAGCACTTAGAACAGGAATATAAATAAAATATAACTAAGAAATAATCAAGAAATACATTGAAAATGGTATGTTTGTGCTATTTTCAGTCCGATTTGAGTAAAAATCGTTTTAACGCTTTTCAGTTGTGGGTAATTTTTTACTATCATAATAATCATTCCGGAAAAAAGGAGCAAGCTAATGATCTGAAATTTTGCACATCAAATGGAGTAATAATCTCAAAAAAAATGTTTCAATTCCAGTCATTTCAAAAAACCTCAGTGGAGTCCCTTTAAGTATGAAAAATCTTCTTATAGGTGTCTACCGAGTTTGTTCAAATAAAAACCTCGGGTCAAAAATGCCATCTCCTCGGGGTCATTGATTTTCCTTAAATGTATACACTAAAACGTTAAAAAATCTATTAAAAACAGAGAGCTTGAGCTTAGCTATGGAACATCTTCTCGTGAGTTTGTTCCAAGTTTGTTCAAATGAAAGCCCTGGGGTAAAACTTGGCCCCGCCACGAAGGGTCATTGATTTATTTTATATGTATATTGTAAAACTTTAAAATATTAAAAACGCTAAAGCTTATCTATTCAGCATAAAAATCTTCTAATGAGATTCTACCAAGTTTGTTCAAATAAAAGCCTGGGGCCAAAATTTGCCCCGCCCCAGGGGTTGATTGATTTTCTTTACATGTACACATCTTTTGCAACTGTTTCTTTTTCCTTAGCTATAGCAACCAGTAATGTTTTACACATGCATAACTTCAGATACAAATATGAACTTTGTAATATCAGTTTCAGATTTAGATTTTATATCTGCTTTTGTTTATAATTAACAATATTATTTGTTCCCTGTCGAGGAGACCTATTTATTTATGTGAACGATTTCAGGGCAATCATGGTTCTCTATTTTTAAGTTTACAGGAATTTAAATGATTTGCTCTAAAGGGTAATTGTATCATAAAGATCTGAAAAGACGTTTTGTCCACTTTAAAGCAATATGAAAAACTATTTCAAATAGTTAACAACGTTTGAATATATGGTTGTTTAATAAGGCAGAAATATTTAGCAAAATATTGGCTAAAAATGGTTTGATTGTTTATCTGCAGCACTGCTTGATAAATATGTAATAGAAATAGTATGTTTCTATTAAAGAATACTTACAGTTATCTTATTTTCTGAAGAACTTAATCGGAACGATATCTTTGTAAAGATGTTCAATTAAGCAAACATATTTTAACTTTTAAAGTAGAAGAGGGGTGCCCGGGTCGGTTAAGCGCCACGTACTGCGCGTGAGCGGCGGATTCTATATTCAGAATGACATATAGTTTTATAAATATAATAGCATCATTATTTTATTATCTTGTGTAAATAGTATAGCCGATCTAGGACCGAACATTGGAGGTCAGGTTCTCATTCCTAAACGTAAAGATGATAAAACTTATTAAGAAGTCTAAGTAAATATATTGTTTAATTACAGATGAAGAGAACTATATACGAAATATATTTAACCCATTACTTCATATGCATTTAGTGAAAATTGGATTTTTTCATTGATAAGGCTCCTATCAAAAGTTCAAATTGCTATAAGTTTATAAAAACTGCTTCAATACTAATCACACTTGGCACAAATATTAACTAGGCCATTGCCTTTGTAACAACATGCTCAGGCTTAAATTTCCTGTTACCATCGCAACGAGGGACATCTCAAAATTGCCAAAAATCACTATTTTGCGTTGTTTTTTTTCCATCAAAATTGTTTTCAATGTGCTGCAACTTCTCAATGAATTGATATAGAGTTTAATGCTTTTAAGCGTTGGTTAAAACGTTACCTTATAATCGATCTGGGGTCATTTTAAGCCTCTCACAAGTCCAAAATTTTCTTGGCGATGAAGGAAACTGCCGTCCCCTTCAACCCCCCTTCCAAAACAGAAGGAGGCACATCCCCCTTCTAGCAGCCACCTGATGTATCTTTTGCTTGGGGCCGCGCCGAAAAAATGGTCACTTTTTATCAACATTTTTTAAACGAAAACTTGTGTTTGGGGACCAAACAGGACAATTTTTCAATATTTGAGGCCATAAAGAGGGGGAGGGGTCGCAAGTGCGTTGTTTCGCGTATATATGAGGTAAAGGGTTAAATATCATACACATGATACAGACCGACGGACCGACAGACCGCCGGACCGACAGACAGACAGACATTAGCAAATCAATATTCCCCCTCTTCTTCGAAGGAGGCATAATAACGATTCAGCGACAAAATGACTACAATAATGTATGCATCATTTTTATTGAACCCAGAAGGGTTTCTAATAAAATATAGCTAGTAACAAAATTTGACATTTTTAACACTAGATCATATAGAAGATTTTCTTTATATAATTGCAAATATCTTAAAATAACGGTTTAAGTTATTAAAGCTTATAAAATGCTGCTCGATTTGAACAAATATAATTGGCCGTGGTTATAGTTATATATATCGGTAAATATTAACTGTATTAAACATATGTTGCCTCCTTTATTTAAGGGAAGTAACGCGACGAATATAACGAATATTGATGTGTTACAATTTTGTCCCTTTTACGGCATTTTTTTAAATACGGCGTATAATGACGTTTTAACCATATGATTCACAATAGACGTTTTTCAAAGAGATACCGATTATAAAGGTGCAAAGTAATGCTTCATTTCGTAGTGCAATCTGGTAGATCGAGAGTCATAGATAATCAATTGCTTAAACTTTCTTTGTACAGCCGCGTAGTTTTATGAGTAGCGACAATAGTATGTAATGTTTACTGTTTTTAATACAAATTTGAATTACTATAAATACGGCAGTCAATTTAATGTATATTGTGTACGTTTGCTTTTTATATAAGCATTATATTTTATATATGTTGTACGATTATTGCCTAAAAGGGGTGATTAATTTGAAATAGCATGGCACAAATAAAAAAAATACATGAGAAAAACGATATGTCAATTTTTATTTCTTTTTACAGATTTCATACAAAATATTGTTTTAGGATTAATGATTATCACTTGTTTTGTCACATCACGTTTTTTTTCTAATCAGTCTCTTTATTTACAACACTATTAAGCGAGCATTGTGCTTCTTTTGGTGCGCATGCAATTATTTGCAATGCCTTTCAAAGTTTTTTTTCCTGATATAGTTTTATGACGTAGTGCGCACAATAGAGACCACACAAGTACGACGAACATAGTTGTAGTTTTCATTATTTCTTGTTAAGTATCTTTTCAAATTCTACGTAGTAGCTTTTCGGATTATTTTTTAACGAGTCGAAACATTCGTAAGGTCCGTACTTACGTCCGTTACTCGTATCTGTGTTGCAAATCACAAATTTTCCTCTTTATTAACTAATTTAATCAGCCTCGCACACCGTCACCGTGTATATTATTTGCAATATATTTTCTAGCTGATAATTGTCTATTTTAGGAAGTCTTCTTTCCTGTTTTTCTTTGGAGTCCTCCTGGGCTCCTTGCCGCTGACGCTTGTTGCTGGGTCGGATGGGGGCTGCGTTCATTGAATGCCGCCTTTCCTTGTCGATCTTGTTTATCATATTTTCTGATTCCAGTCAATATCTGCTCTACGCTTATTACGCACCAGTGCTTCTTAATCGGAATTTCGTAATCGTTTTACCTCCAACTTATGATACGGGGCTTACCATATTGTCTATAGGGCGTTGTGTATTTTAGAGCTTATCTTCTGTTTCTTTTAGCTTATCGCCGCTTCCTTGAGCTCGGCTTCTCCCTTGTGTGCTGTCCTGTTTAATGGGGTCCACCTGGGCTCCTTGTCATTGTCTCTTGTTGCTGGGTCGTGTGGGGGTTTCGTTCAGTGAACGCCGCTTTTCCTTGTTTACAATATTCTAATGTTATCAGCCTTCTACGC